TAACTTTACTACAGAATAGGTAGGTTGAGACAGAGTAACCACCAAATCATCTGCAAAAGCTCTTAACTTGTATTCTTTTTTGTTAACTTCTATTCCTTTTATTTCCTGCGACTCTCGAATTTTAATCAACAAAATTTCCAATGTTAGAACAAACAGTAACGGTGACAATGGACATCCCTGTCTTGTACCTTTTTCTATTGTAAAAACCTCTGACAAACCCCCATTAACAATAAGTTGTGCCGTTTGTTTTTGATATATAGCACCTAGAGCTTGTGATATTTTTTCTCCAAAATTCATCTCCTCAATTAATCTTAACATAAACTGCCAATTCAATTGGTCAAAAGCTTTTTCAGCATCTAAAAATATCAGCCCTGCAGAAATTTGGTTGTTCTTATCTAAATATTCTAATAAGTTAATAATTTGTCTAGCATTATTTTTCATATACCTTCCGGTTATAAAACCCGATTGATCCTTATGTATAAGCTGATGCAAAACCCTCATAAACCTATTAGCTAAATTTTTTGCAAAAATCTTATAATCTACATTTAAGAGAGATATAGGCCTATAATTCTTTGGTAAGGTAAGATCTTGGTCCTCTTTTGGAATCAAGGATATAAAAGCACTGCGCCATGACGGAGGAATCTCTAAACCCTGTAATATATTATTAAAAAGCTCACATAAAGGTTGAGTCATCTCTTCTACTAAGGTTTTATAATAAATAGATGTCAGACCATCCGTACCCGGCGCTTTACCTAATTTTAATTGCTTAATAGCTGTCACAATTTCCTCATTGGTAATTAAACCTTTAATTTCTTGTTTCTGATCTTCTGTTAGTTTAGGAAAGTTAGCCTCACTTAAATAATTATTTATATCTAAAGTTTGTACATTAGTACTCTTATATAATTTCTGATAGTAATCTAGAAAAGATTTCTTGATCAGCTCCTTCTGATACACTAATTTACCATTATAATTTATTTTATCTATAATTCTCTGTCTCTGTTTCTTTCTTAATTGATAGGCCAACCATCTCCCTGGTTTGTTAGCATTACAAAATGTATTTTGTTTCATAAACATTAAATTAGTTGCAGCTTGATCAGCCATCAACATATTAAATTGTGTTTTTAGCAACTTTATAGCTTCTTTAACCTTTTCATCTGAAGGATTTAAAATCAAAGACTTCTCTTTTAGTTTAATCTCATCTTACAATTCCTTACGTTTCTGAATCTGCTTTTGTCTATGAACATTATTCATTTTTATCAAAATCCCACGCATGAAGGCTTTACCTGCATCCCATACCATTGATATTGATGTTCCCTTATACATATTTAAGGCAAAATAATCCTTTAAGCACTCCTTTAGTTTTTGAACATTCTTTTCTTGTTTAAATAAGTTCTCATTCACCCTCCAGGATCTCCTCTCCTCTTTTTCAACAGCCAATTCCATCCAAACTGGACTATGATCTGTCAGTGACCTAGGAAAAAATTTTACATTCTTTACCCTATTATATAAGTCAGTTGTAATCAGGAAAAAGTCAATTCTTGAGAAAGATTGATGTCTATCTGAGAAGAAGGTAAAATCTCTCTCCTCTTGATTACGTTCACGCCAATAATCCCTCAGCTCCCAGTCCTCTTTCAGATCAAAAAAGGCTTTAGGTAATTTAGCCTGTTTGAAGAAAATAGAAGAACCTTTTTTGTCCTTTTGTGCATCTAAAACACCATTCCAATCTCCCATTAATATCACAGACCTATAGTCCAACGAAGTTATTTTCTGATGTAACAATCTATAAAATTGTTCCTGTTGCTGGTTTGGTGCGTACAATCCCACTATAAGTATTTTCTTACCATATAGACCAAGTTCAATCATAACATATCTTCCTTGAGGATCTGATTCTACCAGACAAGCTGGTAGACTTTGCTTAACATAAATAACCACACCCCCTTTTTTCCCAGGGGCAGGAGATACAAAATGAGATCCCAAGTGAGCATTAGCTAAATATTTTTGATCTTTAACTAAGATATGAGTTTCCTGCAAGCAGATAATATCATTATTATGTTGCTTTAGATAGTAAAAAATTTTCTTTCTTTTCTGCGGGGAATTAAGGCCGTTAGCATTCCAGGTCAGGAACTTTGCCATCTCCCTTGACCAGGAGCCTGGAGAAAACTGCCTGAAGATCTGCCACTGAGGTATGTGTTGCAGAACTCTTGGGTCTTGCTCCTCCCACCGGCATTGAAACACTTTCATGAGAAGATTCTTTAACTTCTTTCTTCTGTTGTTCCTTTTCCTTACGTCTGTGTGCTGCACGAGTCATTCTCTGCTCTTTAACCTCTGTTTGGCACAGCCATTCCACCTGTGATTTTCCAACAGCCATCAAACCTAATCCTTCAGACTGCTGTTCCGCCTCTTTGCCGCCCAGAGCTTTCTGAATCATAGATGGAGATGAGCCTGCTCCCAGGACCGTGTTATAAAACTCTTTAGCTTTGACAACCGTATTAAGTCTGTAACGTGTCCCCGCATGGCTCAAAACAATACCCGTCGGAATCTCCCATCTGAATGGCATCAATCTTGTTTTAAGTTCATTAGTTAAAAAAGCAAAGTCTTTTCTATTTCTTAAAATTTTAGATGGGATTTCCTTTAAAATGATGACATCTTGGGCAGCAATCTGGAATCTCTTATTGTAAAAAGCTTGTATGATCTCGTTACGCAGAGATCTCTTTGCGAAGCAAATCACCACATCTCTTGGAAAATTCTTTTGTTTCGCAATCCAAGAGTTAACTCTGTAGATTTTTTCCACTTCTCTATGTAATCCATCTTTATCCCTATTCAAAACAACAGCTAGATCATTAATCACCTCTCCATCAGGTCTTGATTCATATCTTCTTTGAGACCCCTAATTCTCAAAGCATATTCCATTTGCCTATACTGAGACATAAGAATATCCTCTTGTGAAGTTTCCATCTTTTTTTCCATATCTTGGAATTTGTCCTCAAGGAGATCTACTTTCTCTGCAACTTCTTCCAGTCTGGAATCCAACTTCACAACCACAGAAGCCAATCCTGATAAAGCTGTAACTATATCTTGCCTCAAAATAATATTATTCTCCACTAAAAGCTTCTTCATTTCCTCTTTAGTTTCAGATTTGTTCTGTTCAAGAAGATCTTTATTCTGTTTAAAAAGGTCCTTCATTTCCTCTTTACTTTCAGACTTACTCTGTTCAAGAAGTTGCTTCATTTCCTCCCTGATTTGAGATACAGCATTTCCCATTATATCTTTAATGTCTTGTGCAGACAAACCTGGCAAGGGAGGAGAAGATGGAGGTGTAACCTTAGGTTGCAGCGCTGGTGGTATAACTTTAAGTTGTTGTTGTACAGTTGCAATTGCAGGAGAGGAAACCACCTTAGAAACTATAGAAGCTGGTTGTCTCTTTGAAGCCATTTTTTAAAAATCTTATTCTCTCTTTCTTTCTTCTTTAAAAAAAAAAGGAAAAATACTAAAATCCTTAAAATTAAAAAAAAAAGACCAGGGAGAGTGCAAAAAAAAAAACTTCAAAACCTCCAAAACACTTTAAAAGAGAAAAAAAAAACTTAAAAGAAAAAAGAACTGTGCTATCCATATGTTTCATTTAAATCCGTTCTTTCTTTCCGGAAAGGAAAAAAAAGCACTTTCAAAACGCCATCTTACTTTCACTCTCACTCTCCTCCACAGAAAAAAACAAAAGAAAAAAAAATCAGCATAAACTAAAAGAGAAATAAAAAGAAATAAAACTCTAACTCTAAGTAAAATCCTTTAAACAGTTCTGTCCGCTTTAAAAATCACTCACCAGGAAGCTTTAAGCGCGGCGATGGTAGCGGCGTTTCACTTTGTTTCCGAAGAAACAAAGACAGCTGGGAGGCGAAGAAAGCACGAGCTCCGAGGGAACACTCTTTCTACCCCCCCAAAAAAGAGATCCAGGGGGGGTTAAGAGGTTCTACCTCTATTCGTGTGGTCTCTACCCCTTCCCTTCGTCCGGGAAGGGGATTTCGAGCCGCGGGCCAGCTGATGCGCGCTGTGCTCCGCAGATCTAACGCTGTCCCAGGAGGACGGCTACAAAGTAGCCGCCATCATCGTCGCTGACCACCGGAAGCGCACAGCAGCAAGTTTTAACTTGGCTTGAAAAGAATAATAGTCTTCGAAGGTGATTAAGAATGGAAAGGCACAATTTATTGTCCGTTTGAAAAGTGGATTTCAAACGTCAGCTTCTTCAAACTTGAAGAGATTATAACCACTCCCCCCAGCTTTGGCATGCAGATTGCTTCAGACAGACTTCTGGGAAGATGGCCAACTGGGTGGCATGCCTGGGAAGAGATCTCTGAAGGATTTCTTCCTGGGATGCAGCTTTTCAAACTTTTAACTGAAGGGACTGGTATTCCTTCCATTTTTAAGATCCATCCAGTCAGTATCAGTCAAAACACTTTCCCTTGGAACCCTCCAAAACAGTTGCAAGCTGGCAGACAGTTTCTGGAGCTCAATTAGTTTTTGTAACCATTCCTCTGTTGTAGGAATCAATGTAGTCTTCCATTTCTGAGCATAGAATAATCTTGCTGCTGTCAACATATATAACATCAAAGTTCCATATATTTTTTTCTAGGCCTTTGTCCATTGGCCCCAAGAGAAAAGTCTCTGGTTTTCTTTCTATATTTAATTTAAGAATTTTCTGTATTAACATATGAATCCTATTCCAATATTTTGTTGTTTTATCACACGTCTACCATAACTGGTAAAACGTCCCCTTCTTTGCCTTTACGTTTCCAACATTCATTTGAAATACCTTTATACATTTTTAATAACTTGTCTGGTGATAAGTACCAATGATACATCATCTTGTAAAAGTTTTCTTTTAGATTGTAATTTAATGTAAATTTTAATCCTTTATTCCACATATTTTCCCATTGCTCAAGCATTATATTACATCCAAAATTCCTTGCCCACTGAATCATATAATGTTTTACTTGTTCATTTTCCAGATTTAAATTCAATAACATTTTGTAAACTTTAGCAATAATATGTTCATCACTACCACACAGTAGGCTTTCCAATTCATTTTTAACAAAATTAAACCCATGATTCTTTTTATCTAACTTGAATTTTCTTTCAATTGCATATATGTAAACCAATGGCAGACATGACCTTTTGATTCTAGCTCCTCCTTGGATTTGAGGGTAGGCTCACCCAAGTTGAAAGATGTTTTAGCATTAAGTCCACCAAATTGGCCTCATCATCATCTCTTTTCTAAAAAAGTCTTCTTGCAGGGAAACCCAAAGTGGCAGCTTCATAGAGAACCTTGTTTTATATTTAATCCAAACTCTCAAAATGGTGTGCCTGGTAAAATGAGTATTAAAATCAACATTTACTTTGTCATACCACAGATAGCCATGCCAACCAAACCTTAATTCATGGCCTTCTAGGTCCAGTAACCTCTTATTCTGAAGGTTCACCCATTCTTTTAGCCAAACCAAACAACAAGCATCAAAATACAGTTTCAAATCAGGTAAATCCAAACAGTGGCTCTTATTGCTAAACTTTCAGTTTCTATTGCCGTCCATTAAGCTTTTGAGAGTCACAGTTAAAGTTCTCTTATGAAGGTAAACTCTCCCCAATCCCCTCCTAGCATTTACTTAAGAAACAACAATGGGCAACTGAGTATAGGCAGCTCAAGTACAGAGACAAAAGTTCCTTTCAGTGAGTGGAGACACTGGTGCCTCTTTTATGTAGCCATTTATAGATATATGGCAGTCTTCCTGAGATAGCTAACTTTTTTTTAATGTGGAATGTGTGTCATATGGGTTTTAATGGCCTGGTATGAAACTATGGATTATTTGAACAGAAGACACATAGCTATCCTTTAATCTTCCACTGTAAGAACCTCCCCCCCCAAAAAAACACTGAGAATTTTTATATGGAAATTAGAACCTATATTGATATTCTCAGCTTTCTCACCTTATCTGGTACCTTAAATGTGTTGCTGAGTGGGGAGGTGTGTTTTCCTATGCACAAATCCACAAACTAAAAAAAATACTGTCCTGTGATACTCTTTGTGTCTCTGTAGTTATGAATGTGGAGTCAAGCAATGGAATATCCTTTGTCTTCAGTGGAAGGAACGCCTCCCTTCCCTCCATTCAGAAAAACTCCAGAGAAGAAAATGCTCCTTTGCTCTCTCTGTGTACAGGAAAATTCTGGCAGAGAACAGTGAAAAATGTTGGGATTCTATAATAAACATATTTTGAGGGATTTAGCATTGGAATAAATACTGTTGTTTGCTTTATTTTCCAGTCTACCACAAGAAGATGATGGAGGACATGGTGGTCATAAATATGGAGATGATAGTGAGTTATTTGTCCCATGAATTATTATGGCTTCCCCTAATGAAAGGCGAGGAGGGGTGTGTTGCTTCAAAGCATCCCCAACACATCATCCACTCCCTTTATACACTAATTCCATTTTAGATGGCGTGTCCTATGTTTCAGGTGCCAGTCCTCAATGGGTCCTTGGTCCCTGGGTGCCCCACCACAGCACCTGTAGCAGAGATAGGCACAGCAGAAGCTTCTCAAAGGCAACCCCATAGTTTCTGCCAATATGGTCACTGGGAGATGATGGGAGCTGGTGATCAACAGCATTTATGGGTTTTCTCTCCTGACTGTCATTACACACATACACACACAATTAAAAAAACTTGACAAACACAAATATACTAAAAAGAAAAAAAAGAAAAAGGAAAAGATAAAAATGAACAAACAACACTTTTTACAAATCAGATAAAAATTATCTGAGCAGAGATTTATATGACTGTAGTATTAAACATAGTATTAGACTCTCCATTAATTTTTTCTCTTCCTGTACAGTGACTCGGTTGGTGAACCATAGCCATTTCTGGACTCCAAGGCCCACGTTGATGGTCCCTGAAGAGTCAAAAGTTGCATTATTGAAATGGGGATTTTAATTTTGAATGACAATCGAGAAATGAAAAAGGTTTTGTATGCTTGCAACACTGCAATATTCATAAACCTAAAAAACTGCTACCTTCCAAAAATCCTCAAAGGGAAATCTGATCTTTTCTATGATTCCATCATTTCACCACCATCTAAACTTCCTTCTGCATTATTGCAAAGAATATAAATATCTTGTTCAAAATACTGCCAGTTTCTCTGTTAGCCCCTCAAGTTCATTGAGAAGGAATGGGCTCCATTTGGGCATCACTTCACCCATAAATATTAAATGCATTTCTGCTCATTCACTAATCCCGTGTTCATGGGCTGTATGATAGGTGTAGAGATGAAATGTTGGATAGTTGTATGTCAGCTGTCATCCACTGAAGAGTTTCTGACATTCCTCTGCATTTTAAAAATAATATTACTGATTCATTGGGTTTTGTAATATAGTTCTAAATAGTCCTGGGTAAGGGAGACAAGCATCATCTCTTGAACAAACAGGACTAGATGTATGTCAGAGTACAATGTATTACTTACCAGCATGATACTCTGCGAGGTGAGGGTGAGAGGGTATATTTCTGATACTGCTTTAAAGGTTTGCTCCCTGTTATGTTTCTATTTTGTTATCTGAATTAATCAAAGGGATCTTCTAGAGCAGACATGTCAAACTCGCGACGTCATGTGACGTTGCGCAACGAATTGGAACAATTTTGCCATTGCCGGCAATGGGGTGGGCACGGCTTCCATGTAACGCTTCTGGCCCATGGGCCGGCAGTTTGACACCCCTGTTCTAGAGTATCTCCTCACCTAGTCACTTCGTGTAAGATCAGCTCATACGTTCCTCTCCTCCCTCACATGTTCCATGACTCTAGAAGGGTGTCTTTAATTGTCTTTTATCCACAGAGGGGGCTCCAAATTGAAGGATTAGATGTGAGTTGTAACACTTTGAAGCATCAAATATAATGGAAACATAATACAATTGTGCATTATGCAAAATGATATTTATTTTCCTTTATCAGAAAAATAGATCAAAGAGCTTCTGGATGAAAATGATAGCCATACTCTCTGACTCTTCTCTTTTTTGTCTTTGAATCAGGATTGCCTACAATTTTGGAAATCATAAGTACCTTATTCTATCAGGTATTATAATCAGCACAATTTTAAATTTCTTTTGGATGAAAAAGGCAGAGGGAGCAGGTTTGTACATTTGCCAATTTCATATATGTAACACAAATTAGTTTAAAATTTCATATTAAAAATGCAGCAGTGTAAGTTTTATTTACAGAAATTCAATATTCTAATAAAACTAGAGGGGCAGCCTGAAATTTCAATGCTGACTTCAAATAAGCACATTTTTTTCTCCAGTTTTCATTAATCTTTTTTTAAAATTTGGTATTGTTTCTCAGATTTTTTTTTTAAAAAATATGCCGGTATAAACAGGACTGCAATCCTAAACATGGAAAATCTTGGAAAAGAAAAGGAAATTTGCCTGCTCTTTCATCAGGCATTAGGCCACAACAATCCACTTAGCATGCTTACTCACCTTGCTTATCTAAATTGTGTTTTTTTCAGCAATGATTTTGACCACTATAAGTTTCATCAAACTGTAATTAATCACCAGGGAAAAATAGGGATCTCTGGTATCCAAGAGAATTTATGAAGCTGTAGCCCGATGGTGAACATTCTCAGGTGATAATTTTATATGTATGTGTGCATGGATGTCTTCTGTGTATACACATCTATAAATATACAAGTCCAAATATGATAGATAGATAGATAGATAGATAGATAGATAGATAGATAGATAGATAGATAGATAGATAGATAGATAGATAGATAGATAGATAGATAGATAGATAGATAGAATTGCAGAAGACAAGGGATGACTTTGGGAGAAATTTTTGCATAATTCCCGGTTAATTGAGAACCTGGAGAATTGTTCTTTTAGGGGGTCGCTAGATGCAGAGTTTGTTTCCCAGTTGATGTCAGTGTAGTTAAGTTGCCCATTACTATTGTGGTGTGCTTCCTGCACACCATAATTAATTGTGCCCTTTGGGTCATCATTTCAAAGACATTTCCTTACCAAAACAGACAAACAGAATGATTGTCAGGCAAAAAAGTAGTGAGAGCAGGAGTGATTTCTTACTGGCTTTCCTGTTGTTCCCTTGTGGGAATCTGGCAGGGGGCACCAGAAATTGCCTGCCTGCCTGTCTGCCTGCCTGCCTGCCTCCCTCCCTTCCTGCCTGCCTACCTGGTTGCAGAAGTGTTGTCCAATTGGTCCAGAGTTCAAGGGCATCATGAAAGGTGTCAGCCAATCCTAAGGTCTAAGGTTCAAGAATGAAATTCATACACTGGATCACACATGAGAAAATCTTGTTTCTAGGATACCCAAGTCCTTTATACAAGTCGCAGCCAATTGTCGCTAACTGGAATATTTACTGTGTTGCTGAACAAGTAACCAAACAGATCTTCTCTGTTCCTCTCTCCTTTCTACTGGTCTTGTTTGGGGACTTGGAGACCTCATGTCATCGTCCTCTAACAGCTCCAGCTGCTCAGGCGCTGTTTGTCATTGATCTGCCTCAAGTGATACCTTCCTTCCCCAGGCTGATATTCTTCAGGTTCCATCTCAGATTCTGACCATGGGCCATGACAAGTCAAAACAGAAATGTGAAAGGAGCCAGAGCTGACTATTTCAAGGGCAACCCTGAATGATGCGGTAGAAGGATAATCCTGATAAAGTCGTGTCCTCCAGGTGATAGCATCCAGGTTACTAAGGGAAAAAAAAGAAAAGCTGCATATTTGGTCCTAAAATCAAACAGACGTATTTGCTTTGGGGATTATTTCTATTATTCCCACCTGAATAAATGTAATTGTTCCTATCATATTTTTTTTTTTTAAATTAAGCTTTCCTTATGAAACGAGCAAGGATGAGTTCATGTTTAATGGCTCCAGGGGTCAGAAAAATGAATTAATGAGATGAAGAGGAATAACACAACCACTCTGGGATACCACTGACACTTTTCTTGCCAAGGCTGCTTTCCTCTGCCAAAGCCTTGCAAGCCCTTTGCGCTTTCACCTCCAGCAGAGAATCTGGGGAGAGTCTTCCAATGGTTAGAGATAATGTCTCTTTTGAAAGGAAGGAAATAGTTGAAAGGTTAAAGTGCAATTAAGCAATGCTTCTGTCAGAGATGCTGCAGGGTTTCCTGTGCTGCACAGGAGCTTGGACTAAATGACCTTGAAGCATGAGAAGACTGTGATAATTCTCTTATTATATGATTCTACACCTCAGCTATCCAAAATTAAACAATCAGTTGCTGGGGGTACATCTTGCAAAGTGACCTGGGAAAAGTTCAGTCCCATGGAACCTGAGGAAGTGTACAAGGCCTTCTCAGCTGCTAGTTTGGCCACTTTTGTGTTAGATCATGCCCTTCCTGGTTTATTAAAGCTGCATGGGAGGGGATGTGGGTTTGGGTCTGGGCAGTAGTTAAGCCTTCCTTGAAATTGAGAGTGGTCCCACCAGCTCCTGAAGAGGTGTTGTTGTCCCCTGCTCTGACTATGTACCAGCTTGGTCTTAATCCCAAACTGTGAGTCGTAAGGAAGTGGCTGGCCCTATGTACTTTCACAGAATGTTCTGTTCTCAGCAAGATGAAGAGGGCTCAGAGCCCAACTTGAAATGATCTTTGAAGAACAGGGAAGACATTGAAAGTAAAGATTAATCCAAATTGGCCTCAAGCACAAGAAGGATATGCTCAGGATATGAACATCCAGGATAAAAGAGGTACTCATTGTTCTTTATGACATCATGCAGGCTAAACATTACAAGGGCTAAAAGAAACAAAAACTTTAGCAGAATCAATACATTCAAACTGAGCTATCTCAATGAACCCTAGAAAATGAACTTAAGCTAAAGCATGCTAAATAAACAAACATATAACTTCTATAGATTAAATGTTGCAATTTCAATCATTGCAAAGGGATCATGTGATACTAATTGTAGGAATTTGAGAATGAGGTGAGACTTGGTAGGGGAGATAATTGGGGGACTTCCAATGATTTAAGAATCATAAATTATCTCTCAAGGTTGAAATAGCAAACTGTCCCTAGAGCAAAATACAATGTTTGGGTATATAGATACACTGATGTCAGCAGATGATGATGAAAGCTAGGTTTTTAAATAAATTTTTAGTCTCAGTGATCTATGTTTTAGTTTTTGAATACACTGAAGTAGAGTGAAGATTGCAATGCAATAGGTAGTTGAGAAGCAGTACTTAGTCCTATTTCATCCAAAATGTACTGATAGAAAGGGGGAAAATAAGATACATAAGAAGTGACTTTTAATCTTTATAGGTGTTATAACACCCTTGATACCATTTCATCTTCAAAATTGCACAACCCATAGCATGTACAGCAATCTATCCCTGAAGTAAAATATAATCAATTCATATATATTGAAAGATAAGGAAAAAAGTGTTGAAAACAATAGTAGCAAAGAACAAAAACAACAAAAGAAATGTAAAGAAGCATTTATTGTGTGTTTCCAATTTCTAGTTCTCCTCTTCAGACTGCAGGATGCCCTGCTGTATTCATGCAGCTGATAAACTAAGTACTACATGAGCACCTAGAAAGGAGTTTTGCTGTATTTGGAGCACATTCTAATCATACTGAAACTATGGCGGAGCATATAAAATTGGTCAGGGCTATGTTCAAAAAGCTTAGAGCAGCCCAGTTGTACATCAAACTGTCCAAATGCATGTAGCAGAGTTGGGATGAGAATGGGGCCAGCTGAGAGGCTTTGTGGGAGCCTTGCCGATTTGGCAGGAAGATGAGGAGCTGCCATGGGTGGTGGCAGGGCATGGCTTGGAGAGGGAAGAAAAAGGAGGAGGAAGCCAATAGCATGGAGGAAGAGACTGGAAGGTGGCGTTTTTTCAGTAGACTTCGAACGGAGCAGGCGAGAAGGCTTGGTAGAACTTGCCATTCTGAGCCAGCTAATTGAAGAGAAAGTAAGAAGCTGGGGTTTCATGTTTGCCTTTTGTTTTGTTGCAGGCAAGCTGGATGAAAGGGGGAGGGGTAGAGAATGAGAGTAGCTTGCTGGAGCTGTTTTCTTGAAGCAGGTTAGGCAGAGAGAGAGTGAGAGGCAGGGAAGGTGAAGTTTTATTGTTTCTTTCTCTTTCATTGAGGGCAGGCTAGAAGAAGAAAGGGAGAGAGGGAAGGTTGGGAAGTTTTAATTCCTTTCTCTCATTGGAATAAGCTAGGGAGAAGTAGAGTTAGGAAAGAGTTTGACAGGGTTGGGGGGTATGTCTTTTATTCGGAGATAGTTTTTTTTATAGGATTAGCCGGGGGAAGTAGAAAGGGATTACATGGAGTGAGGTCAGAGTGCGACGAGGTGAGTGGATAAGGAAGGCCTCTGCCAGCACCAGAGGTTGACTGCAATCATTCTAGGCAAGTTGTTGTCATCAAAAACTGATGAATATCAGGCCGACGCGACCACCATGGATGCTTGGAAGACAAGCTCCGTCTTCTTCGTCCAGTTTCGCTTTGCTGGGAGACCCTGAGAAGGGTTGAAAGTTGCCCTATAGGGTGACCAGCAAGGAGGGGCCTCTGCTGGATTGCGGGAGAGTGGTAGCTCTTCCACTAGATCCAGCGCAACCCTCCAAACCGGCAGATGAAAGACCGGCCATAGCAATATGGCTTGTCACTAGGTTGCAGACAGCCAAAGTCACACTTACTACCAGGCACCTACAAAGTAGCACGGATGAGACTGGGTGAGATCTACCTCTCTTAAATCCAACTATCTTTTTGACCTGCATAAGCTGCCTAAAGTACTTTCCCCCCTGTGTAGAGAGGGAAAGGAAATCTTATCCCACCCTCTAATAACAGTGGCAACTGACTATCCAGGGGAGCTTAAAACATTGAAAGAATTACTTGATTTTAACTGGACTTTTATTTTCCTAAAGTTTGAAGACTAAAAGATTCCTCATTTCTTATTTTTTACTCTATTTTTATTGAAGATTTGGGTTTTTATCTACAAAAAGAAGTAAAATTCTTAAGTGGTATGGGTGACACCTTGTAGCTAAACTTGGTATTACAATTTGTTATTGCCTAACAAGACTTGGCTCATAGCCCAGACCAGGGGTAGGCAACCTTGGCTCTTTTATGATTTGTGGAGTTCAATTCCCAGAATTCCTGAGCCATCATGGCTGGATCAGGAATTCTGGGAGTTGAAGTCCACAAGTCATAAAAGAGCCAACGTTACCTACCGCTGGCCCAGACTATAGATAAGACCTCTGTAAACTTGGAAGATATTAACTCTGAGAAGCCCAGCTGTGCTCTACACTTAGTGATAAAACTACTTTTACTTTCTGACTGTAAAGCTTTTAATTCTGCACACTATTAAAAAATGGATGAAGATCTGGAACAGACTCTTTTTTTTATGAGAACACTTATTAAAACTATTATCACAGCTACTGATGAATTAAGAGGCTACAGAAAAGAACAAGATGTCAGCCCAAATATACAAACTCAAATTCTGACTACAATTAAAGAATCAACTACACAGCATATAATAGAAGAAGAAGTGAAACAATTAAACAATACTACTAATTGATCAACAAATAGACCTAATAGAAAACCCAGAAAAGAGACTGACAATATGGAAAATGGAAAGGAGTCTCTCTACAAACCAGAAGAAGCTTGAGGAACAAGAAGAAGAACAGATGGAAGGGAAGATAAATATTCCAGGACAACTACATCAAGACAGAAAGAGAAAGAGACGTTTTGTTAGCATTCCCACAAAATTGATGATTGGATGCCCTCTTTTGTTTCAAATAATATGTATAATAACAGAGGGAGATCTATTTGATGATTTGACAGCATGGAGATGGAAGATGAGCTGGCAAAGAAAGAAAGCTAGAATAAGATTGAAAAAATTGGGGTTTTGACTTATTAGTTAAGATTAAAAGAGAATATACTTAAATAGATAAGATGTAATAAAGATAATTTTGAGCATCTAAAACTTGAAAGTATAAATATTAAAAGCTAAAGTTGAATATTAATTTGCCTACAAAGATTGAATGTAAAAGTAATTAAGACATATATAAGCTAAAACTCTATTGAAAATGTTCAATGTTTTATTTAGCGGATCTATTAAGAATTATATTAACTTAATACGAGATAGTCAACATTAAGAGAAAAAGGAAGTATCTGATGCTGAAAAAAGAGAAATTTTGATTACTAAGGTTAAGATATTTGGAAATTAATAGAAAATAAGAATGTTATATAGTATTATTAATAAGATGGTGTAAGATGGTGTGAAATAGTATAAGTTTGAACAGATAAGATTTGTATTGTGAATATTAGACTGTGTAATGAATTTGATAATGGGAACTTTGGTTACTCAAAATTTGGAAATTATAATCTACAAATGTTAAATTTAAATATTAACGGGAAATTAAAAATTGAGAAAATTGATTAGGACATTGATTGTCTATAAAGATTGAATGTTAAAATAACTATGGTAGGTATAAGTTAAAACATTATTGATAACTGTAAAAATGTTTTTATTCAATTGAAATAATAACAATTGTATTAGTTTAAATAAGAGACAGTAAATGCTAAAGGAGAAAAGAGGATATATGTAAGATGGTACTTTGAGATATGTATTAAACATACTTGTAAGTTATTGAATTATCAGTTAACCCAACCGCCATGTTGCTCTTGAAATTCTTAAATGTAAAATCAGAAAATTAATAAAACTTTCTTTTTTAAAAAAGCCTACTTAACATCATCCTGGGCAAGTTGTTTCCACTAGAGACTGACTACCATTGTTTTAGGCAAGTTGCTGTCACCAGAGTCTGACTGTCATCATTCTAGGCAAGTTGTCACCAGAGGCTGATTAACATCATCCTGGGTAAGTTGTTGTCATCAGAGACTGACTACCATTGTGTTAGGCAAAGTTGCTGTCACCAAAGATTGACTGCCATCGTTCTGAGCAGGTTGCTGCTACCAGAGATGGACTACCATTGCCTTACGCCAGCTGCTGTTATCAGGATTTGGCTACCATCTTTTCCTGTAAGTTCTTACTGCCTAAGATCAACCACCATCATCCCACATGAGTCACCGTCGAGACAGAGTAACCATGACCGCCCCATGTGCGTGGCTGCTGATCGTGAGTGAATACCACCGTGTTACATGCTATGTTAGGCAGAGGTGCCAACATGAAAGACCTCCTTGGGCTGGTGGTCATCTGGAAGGGAGGTCAGGAGGGCCAGAACTTAAGCGGACTCTACCAAAACTGAACATAGGTGGGCAGTATGGGAAAAGGATGCATATGCAATGCATTAGGCACTCTTAACCTGGAGGCATTTCTTGGAACAGGGAAAACACATTTTGAGATATGGATTGACCACAAGAACTTAGAAGTCCTAAAAACTCCATAGAGGTTGTTGACCAAACGAGTCCGCTAGGCTCAATACTTTAACTGATTCAATTTCATACTGCAATATCTCTCAGGAGGAAGAACTTCCTAGCAGATACCCTATCCAATCTACCACAATATAACAGTTCAAACCTGGAGGTGGTTAGACTGGTTATTCCAACCCAGCAACTAGCAGCTCCAGTCACCACCAGAGCACAAGCTAAACTAAAACACCAGGTAGCCAAGGGGAGCCCTGAAAGCAACACTGGAGAAGGACAAGTGGTTCTAAGCCTACAAGGGGGAATGCTTGATGCAAGATGATTTATCCAAATTGTACATCTCTGAAAGTCAATGGATGATGATCTTATAGAAAAGCCATGACTCCAAAGTTGTGGGACATTCTGGTTTAGTCAAAACCTTACATTTGGTTAAGCGCCAATTTTGTAGCCATCACTAAAGAAAGACATACAGAGTTATATAATAGTTACCCTACCTATGCCTCTGCAGAAAAGCATAAAGGGAAGACACCAGGGCTCCTCCAGCAGGTGGCCAAGCCCAAAGCCCCAGGGAAAGAGATTTCAATGGACATTATAATAAAGGTACCGGAGAGTTCAGGAAATGCCGTGATTTGGGTGATAATAGATTTATTTTCTAGACAAGTACATTTTGTGCCCTGCCAAAAAATCTCATCCACTTGCACCTTAGCCAAACGGTTTGTATAGCACATCTGTAGACTGCACGCAGCCCCAGAAAGAATAATTTTGGACCATAGCATCCAGTTCACATCATGGTTTTGGCAAGAGTTCTTAAAATTTTTGGGGACCACACATAGGCTTAGCTCCTCATGTCATCTGGAAATGAAGAGAGGTTGTGAGTGTGCTTCTTGTATCATCTGGAAATGAATGGATGTTGTGAGCAATATATCAGGTGTTACATTAATTATCAACAGGACAATTGAGCGACCTCCTTCCTTTCACTGAGGTTGCTTACAATAAATCAGTACACAGTAGCACTGGATTCACCCCCTTTAAAATGGCCATCGGGCAGGACTTTGTGTCTATCCCTAGGTTGCCCCAGGCCACCAAAAGACTTTAAAGTTGGGGACAGGGTTTATTTATCCGCCGAGTACTTACAGTATATCCAACCTTCCCCCAAAACTGGGCCTGAAATATGTTGACCCTTCCCCCATTAATTTAAGAACCTGATCACCACTGAGCTCGAGCTTCCAAAAAAACGTAGATGGGCCCCCTCGGTGTTCCACTGCAGCCTAGTGAAACCAGACACAGAGAGGCTGGAAATACTTGGGACGCTCCAAACATTGAATACTCCCAAAGCACTTAGACCTTCATCCATTGGCTGGAAATGGACTGGTCAAGGGGAGGGGGAAAGGGTTGGATTGAAGGGAAAAGCCTGTATGTTTTCTCATGGGAAATGTAGTTCTAGCCTAATAAGCACCCTTTAGAAAAAGAGCCTATCACTTCAAACCAAATAGAGTAGAGAGTCTTTCTTTCCTAATAGGACAATCCAGTTTGGGTAGGCCAGAAACCTTTTTGGATTGATGCTTCATTCTTTATATATATATAAAAAGGGTCAGTGGACAAATTATCTGTGATATTTGTGATTTCCCTCAACTTGCTCTGAGGATTTAATCATGTGTAGATTTGTCACAACTTCACGAACCATAAAGGACTATTTCTTCTTCATCCTAGAAGTTATTTCCATTTCCTTGCCATCCACTGGTTCTGCCCATTCTTTTCATTGGAGCTTAATCCTTTAAAAAAGGGAGCTCATTATACAGTTACTCCATAACGCTTTGTGATTTTATTCCGCTAAGAAGTTAATGTTGTGTAGATCTGCCACAATTCCACAGAGCATGAAAGTCTGGATTCTCTTTGTGCTGGCAGCAATTGCCTTTGCCTTGCCAGCCACAGGTAAGACACTCCCATTGCTATTCCCTTTGCTTCTGATGGGAGGGTGAGGAAGGTCCTTGGAGTAAATTGGGAATCAGGGCTTTCTTCTCTGAATGCTTCTAGTGTGGAATGTGTTCATATGGGTTTTAATGGCCAGATGTGAAATGATGGTTTATTTGCACAGAAGATAGATAAATATATTTTAAGCTTCCATTGTGAGTTCATGAAAATTCTCAGTCATCCAGATAGTTTTGTCTGGAAGTTGAGTTGCAGCAACTGGATTTCTTTCCTTCTTTTGCTTTGTAATGTTTGCTGTCTATTCAAGTATCTTCTTCTTTTTTGCATTCTAAGAAGTCCAAATAGAAAAGTGATATTTTTTAAATTAAAACTAGAACTTATATTTCTATTCACAGCTTTCTCACCTGTTCTTTAACTGGTGCCTTACATATCTTGCTGAGAGCAGAGGTCAGTTTTCTAATGCAGAAATCCACAAACTCAAAAAAAAAAAAAATACTCTGAAGGCAGATATCATATTCTGTGTGTCTCTATGTTTGTAGAATGTGGAGATGAGAAATGGAATATCCTTTGTTTTCAGTGGAAGGAATCTCTGCCTTCCTTTCATTCAGAAAAACCTTAGAGAAGAAAATACTCCTTTGGCCACTTCCATGTACAGGAAAATTCTGGCAGAAAACTATGAAATATAGTGGGCTTCTATAATAAAACTATTTTAAGCCATATACCATTGAAATAAACACCGTTGCTTTCTTTATTTTCCTGTCTAGCACAAGAAGATGCTGAAAACAGTGGTGAGTATTTTATCCCATAAATTATTCTGGATTCTCTTCATGAAAGGCCAGCAGGGGTATAGGAAGTGAGCCTTCAAAGCAACCCCAATCTATCACCCATTCCCTTTAAACACTCATTCCATTTTAGATGGGGTGTCCTATATTTCAGCTCCCAATGGGGCCTTGATCCCTGAGTGCCCCAACACTGCATCTACAGCAAAATAGACACTGCAAAGGCTTCCCAACAGCAACCCCAGCACTCTCTGCCAATATCCTCAATGGACTTCTAGATGATGGTAACTGTAGTTCAATAGCACATCCATTCCTGAATATCATTACACAGACACACATACAAACACAAAGTCAAATAGAAATGACAAATACAAATATACCCAAAAAAACCCACAAAAGAGACAAAAATGAACAGACACAACTGAGCAAAATGAAACAAACACTGCTAGTATATTAAAATTATTAATAATTGCTGTGTTACTAATGAATGCCATATACTATTATGATGTGAATCTCTCTTGATTCCATCATTCTACCACCATCTAAACTTCCTTCTGCATTATTGCAATGAATATTAATACATTTTTCAAAACACTGTCAGTTTCTCTTTCAGCCCATCAGATTCATCAAAAAGGAATGGGCTCAGTTTGGGCATCACTTCACCCATCAATATTAGACGTATTTCTGCTCATTCATTCATCCTGTGTTCTTGGGACCTAGGAAGGGTGTAGAGATGAAATGTTGGACAGTTGTTTTTCAGCTGTGATACACTGAAGAATGACATCCCCTTTTTTCTTCAAAATAATGTTATTGATTCATTGAATGTGGTGATATAGTCTGAAATCGTCCTGGATATGAGTGACAAGCATCATCTCTATTTTTTTGCCCCTTTGAATAGGTCTGATTGAAAAAATCTTTATTATGGGTAAGTATGTCAGAGTACAATGTGTTATTTTCCTGCAGAATCTCCTGGGAGGCGAGAGGCGGACAATGTTTCTGATACTGTTTTAGAGTTTTATCCCTTTTGTGCTTCTCTTTTTTTGCCTGAATTAATCAAAGCAATCCTCTCTAGAGCATTGCCTCTCCTACAGTCATTCCCCCCACAATCAGCTCAGACCTTCCTTTCTTTCCTTACATCTCATGGCTGTAGGTAGGTCCTTTTAAATTCATATAATCTGCACAGGAGGGCTCTAAACTGAACCGTTATATTTGGGGTGAATAGTGATATTTTAAAGGGTAAAATATAATGGAAACTTGTTTTGGTTTATTTTATTAATTTTTTATAATACCAATCTTAATAATTAGAAAGCAACACATTGTTGAGGTTTATATGTTTGACATTAATAATAGTACAATTTCCATTCCTACCCTTTATTCCATTTTTCTAACCATTTATAATGATATTTTAAAGTTAACAGTATAATGGAAACCTAATACAACTTTCTTTATGTAGAAATAATTATACTGATTTGCCTCGATTTGAAAAATAGGTCAAAATGCTCTCTGATGAAAATGGCAGTAATACTCTTTGACTTTTCCCTTTTTCTTCTTTAACCAGTACGGCCTCCACCAGTCACTGTTACGAGTAAGTATTTTAATATGTCAGATATTATAACCAGCACAATTTCTATTTTCTCTTGGGTGAGAAATGCAAAGGGAGGGACGTTATTCACTTGCCAACTCCACATTTGTAGCAGAAATTAATTTAAAGTGTCATGTAAGAAATTCAGCTGTGCATGTTTCATTTACAGTGATTCAATAGTCTAATAAATATTTAATGCACTAATAAATTCAGTATTCTTTTTTAAGAACTGGTATTTGTTTCACACTATTTGGAACAGACAGATTAAAAAACATCATACTCCATGTCCATATGCCAGTATAAGCAGGATTGCAATCCTAAACCTGGAAAATCTTGGAAAAGAAAAGCAAACCACTCTTCCTCCAGACATTAGCCCACAACAATCCATTTAGCCTGCTTACTCACCTTGCTTATCTAAACTGTTTTCTCCAGCAATGATTTTGAACACTGCAAGTTTCATCAAACTGTAATTAATCACTGGGGAAAAAATAGGGCTCTCTGCTACCCAGAAGAACTTATGAAGTTGGTAGTCCAGATGGTGAACACACTCAGGTGATTGCCCTCCTCAGTTAGGGCAACTCAGGTAGATGGGAGAAAAGCAGCAGGAGGATTACAGATACCTCTACTACAGCAAAAGGATTCCTTTTGAGTCTGCCCCCTGAGGGTATCAGGAGAACATAAAGAACGGTTGTGAGAAAGGATCCAGCAAGCAGTCAATCTGTCAGCTTCATCCTATAGGCATCACTGAAATTAATTGTTCAAACTCATAAAAACCACAAATGCTTCTGATAAGTTTTCTTTTGGTTTTGCCAGAACATTAGAAAAGAATTTCAGGACTTCCGGTTCTGGTTTGCGACGACCCCGGTCGTATTTGGAGACTCGTCTCCTCACCGGCTGTGTTTTCATCGCCGGTAGACCTCCCAATGGGTCGAAAATCGCCCTGGAGGGGCAACTACTGAGAAGGAGGCTTGCTGGTGACTGCGGGAGGGCAGCAGCTTCTCCCGTAGCTCCAGCTATCTCCTTAGGGCCAATGGAGCAAAGATCGTCCTGCAAGATGGCCGATTACCCTGCTGCACCAGCTGAAAGTCACAGGTAAATCTAAGTGTCAAAGACCCACTGCAGATGATCCGGGTGAGACCCCCCCTGCTCCTCTCTTCACCCTATTTTGTCTTTTTTTGCCTGTAAAACTTCGTCGGAATTATTTCACTATCTTGAAAAAGCACCTTTTGTTTGTGTGGGAAGAAAGGCGTTGAATAAAAGAATAATTTTAACATTTCATCTTTATCTACTTTTGGGTACAGAATTTTTTTTTCTAGAGCTATACTATTATTTTATACTGGAAGATTATTTCTTTTTCCACCTTTTCCTTTAAAAGACAGAAAAAAGAAAAAGAAAAAAATGGTGTCTGGAAAGATTTTTTAATCTCCTGAGGACATCTGGTGGTGAAAAGGTAACATTACAACTGCTGGTTATTGTTTGGAGATGAGGTGGATTTGACCTTCAAACTATTATTGAAGAGAAAAGATAAGCTGATGCAGCTGTGGGAATTGTGGGGGTGGATATTGCTTAACTTTTATTAAATACAGCCTCCATGAAAAGAAAAAAGGGACTCTCTTCAATTACTATTGAAATGGAGACACCTCATTCAAAATTAAACTGTAAACTTATATTGGAAAAGATTTATGAGGCTACTGAAGAAATATGCGCTAAAATAAAAGAGATTTCTACAGAATTAAGAGCCAGAAGCCTTGCTCCAAACTCTCAAACTGACTTTCAGACTGCACCAGACCATTCTATAAATCAAAATACACCAGAAGAGGAATCAATTGAGATTAAAGAGGAATTTATTTTACCTTACAAGCACTTCATCTATATCTTTGAGGATCGGAAGAATTAAAGACTGAGACTTGAACCTTTAAAGCAATGAGGCTTCAAGGACAAGAGAAATAGATGCCCAATGCAGAGGATGGGATGCTGTTCACTGACTCAAATGACATTACAAACAACAGAAGGAGATCTATCGGCTGAAAGGGAAGCTTTGTTATGGAAACTTGTCTGGCACAAAAAGAAGGCTAGAATAAGACTGAAAAGAGAAACTTAAAATTATATGTAATGGATTAAAAGGCACTGTAGAACTATGGACTGATTTAAGGATTAAGATTTAAAATTAGAAATAAGAGAAAAATGGATGATTATTAGAATATATATTTTAAATAGACTTAAGAATGTACTTTTTAGAATATTAGGTTTATTTGCATGGAAACTACTATGTAATGGAATAAAGAAAATCCTTTAGATCTGGATTGACTCAATAATTAATTGAGCATGTTAAATTAGTAAGATGATGTTTTTGTGTGATAATATGGGTGTTTTTAGGCAAAATACTTATTTGGATGAAATTTGAATTTTGCCTAACAGACTGAAATGATTTAGGGTTTGATATTATTTTGCTAGGTTAAAGAGATTGATTGATGGATGGACTATATATGTATAGGATAGACTAATATTTATTTTAATCAGGATATATAGTGTGTAGTGGAAGAAGAAATAAACAAGACTTGTGATAAAATTAAGGACTTAAGAGATCAGAATTAGATTATATCTGGAAAGGATACCTGAAGTGATAATGTGTTTATTTAAGGTTAAATTTGACTATGGTAACTGTAAATTTATAAGGTTCAAAAACAGGTTTAGAATTTATAGAAATTTATTCTAGAAATGGATTATTATAAATATATTATGTTATTTGAGGGAAATAGAGAGGGAATATTTAATGTATTGATTTGAGTTATTCATATAAGGTTCTATTTTTGGATGTTTGATTACCCCAGCATCATGCTGTGTCTCGAGCACTTTGTTCTAAAAAACAAAAAAAAACCAATAAAATTTGTTTTTTTTTAAAAAAAAAAAAAAAGAAAAGAAAAGAATTTCAGCAGCTTCTCTAACTTGGAAAAAAATCAAAATGTAAAAGATATGTTGAAACTCTTTTGTATTTCTTGGGAGACTATTGTACCCCCTTTCCCCCTGTATTTCTTCTTACATGTAACTAAACTGGGTGTGGCAAGAATGGGCTTTCATTCTGAGCCCCCCAAAGCTCTGTTTCCACTCTGTGGGAACCCTGCCTTCCATTAAAAAAAAAACATATACTCCTTCACCGTCAGCTTTGGGACTGGGGTTGCTGCAGTTCCAGATGCAAATCTGGAATATTGTCATTTAACAAGATGTTGTTCCTTCCCTCCAGTTTATAATAGGCTCCGGGGAAGAAACCGTGGCAGAAGATGACTGCTAGGATATTTCCAGAAGAGTTCATCCAACTTCATGGTGGAATTTCATGTGAAAAAAGTTCAATTATAATTTTCATGGCTGATGCCAATAAAAGTGAATTTTAGCTGCAGGAACAATGTTGTGCAAAGTGCTATTTTTCATCTTCCTTGTATGGTGGAAGTGGGATCTCACCTGGAACCATGAGCTCTCTTTGGCAGAAAGATGCTCTTAGCAATTATGCTCCTGAATCTATTGTTCTGTTATCATCAACAATTTGTTACTCTTTGATAAGGATGGAAAAGAATTGTTGGAGGGTATTATTTCAGAAAAAATGCCGTAACCTCAAGAATTCCAAAGTATGTAAATATATGGCCTTAAACATGGTAAAGGAAATTTGTAAACAGGGCAAAGGCAATAGCATTTTATGTTACATTGCAGAATAGGAAGAATGTGTACCCTACTTCAGGGCCGAGGAGGACACCTCCAGGCTGGGAACTGTATGGATCTAATTGGGGACTTGATTCCAGAGGACAAGTGCTGCTGCTTAGAAGCTGTGCTTCCTGGTCTATAAATGACACTGTTAATGTCATGGGTCTTACTTATGAAACCAAACAAATCAGAACTCCAAGGCTAGAGATTTCCTCAAAGAACATGTTTATTGGCTACATAGTATCGGCATAGTCAAAAGTGAAACCAAGTCTGAAATTCCCTCCAAAGTGATCCACTATTAGTTAAACTTCCTACCCCAGTACTATGCAATCAGCTACATTCCCCAATAGAATAGTTTGGCAGGCTTTCTAACCAAATGCTCACACACCCCACCTAACTGACAGAAATGACATTGGTTCCCATGGAACAGTAAAATGTTTAGACTAGCAGAAATCTTCTGCACCACCTCGCATTCTTGTGACAAACTAGAACATGCAGAATGGCTGCAGTCAGGTTCGTTGGAGAGTTGACAGTCGGACCCCCCCCAGGAAGAAAGTTTTAGCTTATCTCGTAATGAGTTTCTCCCTCTATTAGAATGGGGCCAGGTGCCTTTTTTGGAATCGGCCACAAGGACGATTCTGTGATTGGTTTTAACAAGCTACAATGGAAAATGAGATGAACTTTCTCTAATAACTATGGGAGTTTCAATTGAAGTGTGACAGGATTTATAATTTTGATTATGGGAAAAGGACCAAGGGACTTAGGTCCCAATTTTTTACTAGGTAATTTCAATCTTAGATACTTAATAGACAAGTAAACCTTCTCCCCCACATGGAACTGCCTCTTGGGAGACCATTTCTTATCAGCTTGTTCTTTGTACGTTTTAGCTCCTTGGGCTAAAGCTTTTTTTAAGTTTGCCCAAACAATTTGCAAAGACGTCAGTCACTGATCTAGAGTCTATGAGGTGGGAGGTTCGTGGGGTATTCAGGCTTAGGGACAAATTCCCGACCAGTGGCTATTTCGAATTGAGTAAGTCCAGTGCTGTTGTACATGGTAATATTGTATTCCACTTTGGGGAAAGGCAGGAGGTCTACCCAATTAGTCTGTTGGTAGTTCACATAACATCTGAGGTATTGTTCCACCATTGCATTCATATGTTCAGCTGATACTCAGATGAAAAACAGATGAAAGTCCCTAGATCAGAGGTCGGCTACCTTAAACACTCAAAGAGCCATTTGGACCCATTTGCCATAGAAAAAAAAACACCGGGAGTCATAAAACCCTGCTATTTCCCCCCACCCAGCACTCCACCACTCCACCACTGCTGCTGATTAACCCCTTGTGCAGAGCACGCTACTGATATTGCTTTCTCCCCCTCCCTCCCCCACCCTGCCACTGCTTTTCCCACCTACCTCCCCCACCCTGCTTCTGCTTTTCCTCCTACCTCTCCTGCATGGACCTCCCTGCCGCTGCCACTTTCTCATGCTACCTCCCCCATGTGGAGCGCCCTGCCACCACTTTTTCCTCCTACCTCCCCTGTGTGGTGTGCCCTGCTGCTGCTGCTGCTTTCTTGGCCTACCTGCCCCACGCGGAGCACCCTGCTGCAACTTTTCCCTCCTACCTCCCTTGTGCGAAGTGCCCTGTCACTGTTTTTTCCTCCTACCTCCCTTGCATGGAGCGCCCTGCCACCGCTTTTCCCTCCTACCTCCCCCACATGCAGTGGTCTGCCACCACTTTTTCTTCCTACCTCCCCAATGCAAAGTGCCCTGCCGCTGCTTTTCCCTCCTATCTCCCCTGCGCCAAGTGCCCTATCACTGCTTTTTTCTCTACCTCTCCTGCACTGAGCCCCCCGCCGTTGCAGCTTTCCCCAACAGCGAAGGTGGAGTTTGGGAGGCAGCAGCAGGGCATAGCCCAGGCATGGCCCAGCAGCACAGTTTTTCCTTCCCACTCAAGATGCAGCAGCAGGAGTGCTCTCAATAGGTGGGCGGACACGAGCGAGCAGCGCACCCAGCTCTTATTGTTTGAGAGCAATCCCGCTGCTGTTTCTCCACTTTCTTCAACCATGATCCCCCTCCCCAGCCAGCCAGCTCTTCATAAATTTAACATGGACATAAAAATGTTTCACCACCTTTATCAATATTACAAAGAAAAGTTTAAGAACTTTAATTGTGCTTGATCAGCTTCACTCATTTTCCTCCAGTCACTCTCTTTGCATCTCTTACCCACTTCATCACCCTCTGAAAGCCAGATGACTCACAATGATCCACATTCATAGAGAGCATCCTGCAATCTAATCTGAGCTGTCATAACCTTTCATTCCAGCGTGATTATAGCAGGTTATTATCTATCTCTCTTTGTCTCCGTCTCTCGTCTCTGTCTCTCATTACAATGTTCTCTGTTTTTCAAATATTTTTATTAAGGATTATAAATGAAAAGAGTAAAAACCAGTGCAAACTATAAAAACTACAAATAGAAAAATAGAAAACAAAAAAATTGTGGGGGGAAAAAAGTAAAGGACAGGAAAAAGAAGGGAAAAAAAACCTTTCTCTTTCATCCCAACAGGTAAAAACAATTTTAGTAGCTTATCTACCATCTTTAAATACAGCACAATTATTCTCATACCTCATCTCTTAATTTGAAAAATCATCAAAATATTTCATTAAACGTTCTTTCCTAAAAGTCCAGTAAGGACAACCACATATATTCTCATTCTCTCTCTCTCTCTCTCTCTCTCTCTCCCTCCCTCCCTGCCTCCCTCCCTGCCTCTCTCTCTTTCTCTCTCTCTCCAATATATCATTTAGCTCAGATAAAATAAGCTACATTTATAAGTCTTCCCTGAATTTTAAAAGATAGTGATTAATTGCTTCAAAAAACCCTAGCTTGCTGTTCATCTGTTTCAAAATAAAAATATTTCAAAATTTAAAACAAAATATTTTGTAAATCCAATAATCCTTCATTTATCACTTCTCATGCAGTTTTTTTGCTCTCAATAAGGCAAGCAATCCCGCTGCTGCGCCTCCGCTTTCTTCAACCATGATCATCCCAGCCAAGCCAGCCAGCCAGCCACCATAGCCAATCTTGTCCTCATGATCCCCCCTCCCCCTCTCCCCTCCCCAGCCAGCCAGCTACCATCTCTGACCTACTCTTCACCTGGCCAGCCAGCCTCATGCTCTCCTCCTCCTCGTCCTCCACACTCAATCGGCTGTTAGCGGCTTGGGTGGCTCTGCTCCATCTGAGCTGAAGAAAGTGGAGACATAGCAGAAACAAGCTTTCCTCAACTTGGACAGAGCACAGTCATCCAAGCTGCTAGCAGTCAATTGAGTGCGGAGGACGAGGAGGAGGAGGAGAAGAGCATGAGGCCAGCTGGCCAGGTGAGGAGTAGGTCAGCGATGGTGGCTGGCTGGCTGGGGAGGAGGGATCATGGCCGCTCGGGGGGCTCTGCAAAGCCTCATGGCAGTGGCATTGGCAGCTCCCCCCACCCAGCCTGTTTCCTCAGCTCTGTATAAGATGCTTGGCAGAACCCCCCCCCTCCACATCCCCGATCAGACCCACACGGCATCTTCTTTCTGGGTCCACCACAGTCCTCCGTCTCTACCTCCACTGCCACATCCAGTCCCCAAAAGAAAAGATGTTTGTGGGCAGTCCCACAAACAAAAGAAATGGGACTAAAAAAATTCAATCAATCAATTCCAACTTTGTGAGTTTTTTTTTCCGCAAGAATTTGGAATTGATTGATTGAACATTTTTAGTCCCACTTCTTTGCAAATGGCAGAGGAGGACTGGGAGCCACAGTAGATGGATGAAAGAGCCACATGCAGCTCCAGAGCCGCAGGTTGCCAACCCCTGTTCTAACCTAACAAGCACCCTTTAGAAAAAGAGGTTATCACTTCAAACCAAGTAGAGTAGAGAATATTTCTTTCCTAATGGGGCAATCCAGCTGGGGTAGGCCGGAAACATTTTTGGATTGGTGCTTCATTCTTTATATATATACAAAAGGATGAGTGGACAAATTATCTGTGACATTTGTGATTTCCCTCAACTTGCTCTGAGGATTTAATCGTGTGTAGATTTGCCACAACTTCACGAACCATATAGGATTGTTTCTTCTTCATCCAGGATGTTATCTCCTTCGCCTTGCCATCCACAGTTAAGAAAGTCCCATTGCCAGTTTTTTAAATTAAAAACTGTGTTGTTTTAATGTTTTAATATTTTAATTATTTTTTACTTATTTTATAACTTGCAAGCTGCCTGGAGTCACATTAATAAGGGTGATGGCAGCATTAAAAAAATAATAAATAAAAATAACTTCTGTCCGAAACAAGATGTTCTTTCTGTTCACCTGAGGTATTCTCAGAAGGATTGGTATGTGGCTTGCTAGTACTTTTTGACTCAGCCATCACACTGGTTCTGCCCATTCTTTTCATTGGTGCTTAATCCTTTAAAAAAGGGAGCTCATTGTACAATTACTACATGACACTTTGTGATTTCCTTCTGCTGAGAAGTTAATGGTGTGTAGATCTGCCACAATTCCACAGATCATGAATGTCTGGATTCTCTTTGAGCTGGCAGCGATTGCCTTTGCCCTGCCAGCTAAAGGTAAGATTCTCCCATTGCTATTCTCTCTGCTTCTGATGGGAGGGTGAGGAAGGTCCTTGGAGTGAATTGACAATCAGTCGTACCCAATCATAAATATGTAACAATTCTCTTTTAAGTCTTCCTGAGATGGGCTTTCTTCTCTGAATGCTTCTAGTGTGGAATGTGTTCATATGGGTTTTAATGGCTGGATGTGAAATGATGGTTTATTTGCACAGAAGATAGATAAATATCTTTTAAACTTCCATTGTGAGTTCATGAAAATTCCCAGTCATCCAGATAGTCTTGTCTGGAAGTTGAGTCATAGCAACTGGATTTCTTTCCCATTTTTTGGTTTGTAATGTTTGCTGTTTATTCAAGTAGGTTCTTCTTTTTTCCAGTCTAAAAAGTCCAAAAGGAAAAGTGATATGTTTTTTTTTTTATTAAAACTAGAACTTATATTTCTATTCTAGCTTTCTCACCTGTTCTTTAACTGGTGCCTTACATATCTTGCTGAGAGCAGAGGTCAGTTTTCTAATGCAGAAATCCACAAACTCAAAAAAAAAAAAAAAAAAAAGCTTGAAGTCAGATAACTGGTCCTATCATATTCTGTGTGTCTCTATGTTTGTGAATGTGGAGATAAGAAATGGAATATCCTTTTTTTTTAAAGTGGAAGGAATCCCTGCCTTCCCTTCATTCAGAAAAACTCCAGAGAAGAAAATGCTCCTTTGGCCACTTCCATGTACAGGAAAATTCTGGCAGAAAACTATGAAATATAGTGGGCTTCTATAATAAAACTATT